GTGATTCAACACTTCCATACATCACCCAGTGCTCATCACAAGTGCACTCCTTCATCCCCATCACATATTTAACCTATTCCCCCACCCACCTCCCCTCTGGTGACCATCAAGTTTGTTCTCTATAGTTGAGTCTGTCTCTTGATTTGTCTCTTTTTCCCTTTGCTCATTTGTTTCTTAAATCCACATGAGTGAAATCATACGTTATTTGTCTTTCTCTGACTTATTTCACTTAGCATTATACTCTCTAGCTCCGTCCATGGCATTGCAAATGACAAGATTTCACTCTTTTTGATGGCTGAGTAATATATATATATATACACACACATATCTTCTTTATCCATTCATCTGTTGATGGACACTGAGGCTGTTTCCATATCTTGGCTATTTTAAATAATGTTGCAATAAACATAGGGGTGGTGCATGTATCCCTCCTTTGAATTAGTGACCTTGTATTCTTTGGGTAAATACCCAGTAGTGCAATTACCGGATCATAGGGTAGTTCTATGAGAAATCTTCATACTGTTTTCCACAGTGGCCGCACCCAGTTTCCATTCCCACCAACAGTACACGTGGTTGCTTTTTCTCCCTATCCTCGTCAACACCTGATTTTTTTCTTGTATTTTTGATTTTAGCCATTCTGACAGCTGTGAGGTGGTATCTCATCATTTTGATTTGCATTTCCCTGAGTGATATTGAGCATCTTTTCATGTGTCTATTGGCCATCTGTATGTCTTCTTTGGAGAAATGTTTGTTCATGTCTTCTGCCCATCTTTTAATTGGATTATTTGTTTTTTGGGTATTAAGTTTTGTAAGTTCTTTATATATTTTGGATATTAACACTTTATCGGATATGTCATTTGCAAATATCTTACCCTATTCAGTAGGCTTTCAGGTTTGTTGTTTCTTTTGCTGTCAGAATCTTTTTATTTTGATGTAGTCCCAATAATTCATTTTTGCTTTTGTTTCCCTTGCCTCAGGAGACATATCTAGAAAACATTGCTAAGGCCAATGTCAGAGAAATTACTGCCTATGCTCTCTTCTAGGATTTTTATGATTTCCTGTCTCACATTTTGAGTTTATTTTTATGTATGGTGTAAGAAAGTGGTCCAGTTTTCCCAACACCATTTGTTGATGAGACTTTTTCCCATTGGACATTCTTTCCTGCTTTGTCAAAGAGTAATTGACCATATATTACTTCATTTCTGGGTTTTCTGTTCTGTTCCAGTGATTTCTATGTCTGTTTCTGTCCCAGTACCATACTGTCTTGACGATTACAGCTTTTTGATATAACTTGAAGTCCGAAACTGTGATTTCTCCAGCTTTGCTTTTCTTTTTCAAGATGCTTTGTTATTCAGTCTTTTGTGGTTCCGTACAAATTTTGTTTGTTCTAGCTCTGTGAAAAATGCTGTTGGTATTTTGATAGGCATTGTATTAAATGTGTAGACTGCTTTGGGTAATACAGACATTTGAACAGTATTTGTTCTTCCAGTCCATGAGCATAGAATGTCTTTCCATTTCTTTCTGTCATCTTTAATTTCTTTCATCAGTGTTTTATAGTTTTCAGAGTCCAGGTCTTTCACCTCTTTGGTTAGGTTTATTTCTAGGTACCTTATGGTTTTGGGTGCAACCATAAATGGGGTTGTTTTCTAAATGTCTCTTGCTGCTGCTTATTAGTGTACAGAAATGCAACAGATTTCTGTATATTGATTTTGTATCCTGTGACTGTACTGAATTCATTTGTCAGTTCTAGCAGTTTTTTGGTAGATTCCTTAGGGTTTTCTATATATATAGTATCATGTCATCCACCAATAGTCAAAGTTTGACTTCTTCCTTGCCGATTTGGATGCCTTTTATTTCTTTTTGTCGTCTGACTGCTGTGGCTAGGACTTCCAATATTATGTTTAATAAAACTGTCTTTTTCCTGGGGTGCCTGGGTGGCTCAGTTGGTTAAGCAGCTGACTTCAGCTCAGGTAATGATCTTGGGGTCCTGGGATCGAGCTCTGCATCTGGCTCCCTGGGAACCTGCTTCTCCCTCCCCCTCTGCCTGCTCATCTTCCAGTGCGTGCTCTCTCCGTCCCCCAAATAAATAAAATCTTTAAGAAAAAAAAAAGTGTCTTGTTCTCAACCTTAGGGGTAAAGCTCTCAGTTTCTCCCCCACTGAGGATGATGTTAGCTGTGGGTTTTTCATAGCCTTTCTTATGTTGAGGTATGTTCCCTCTAAACCTACTTTGTTGAGGGTTTTTATCGTGAATGAATGTTGTACTTTGTCAATTGCTTTTTCTGTGTCTGTTGAAATAATCATATGGTTCTTATCCTTTCTCTTATTGATGTGATGTAGTAAAAGTTGATTTGCGAATATTGAACCACTCTCACGACCCAGGAATAAATCCATGATCGTGGTGAATGATTTTTTTTAATGTATTGTTTAGTTTGACAGATGTTATTTTATTTATTTATATATTTATTTATGGGAGGGTGAGAGGGAGTGGGGGAGGGGTGCAGTGGAGGGGTGGGGAGCAGAGGGAGAGAGAGAATCTTAAACAGGCTCCGCGCCCAGTGCAGAGCCCAACGTGGGACTTGATCTCATGACCCTGAGATCATGACTTGAGCAGAAATCAAGAGCTGGACGCTTAACTGACCGAGCCACCCAGGTGCCCCAACAGATGTTATATTTTTGACACAAATCTCATCTACACAAACCTTTAAATGTGGCCTATCTGTAAAGATCTATAAGAAGAGTGTAACTGATTGAGAGGCTGAAGATTAAGGTGAAAAAATCATTTTTGCCCCCAGCCACTACAGACTACGCATGCCCAATGGTTTTAGATTTTCCTGGAAAACTTAATCTAATGAGTAAATGAGCTTTCATAGCTGTACTTAGTAACATTTGTGCATAATTATCAATCCTTGTGTCTTGATATCAAATAAAGTTATCAATCTAGAGTTTAAGAGAAGCACCTTGATAGTTAACACTCGCTGTACCTGCTCAAAATTTTAGAGTAACGCAGATTGGTATGCAAGTTAAAACTCGCAGCTGAGCTGTGGATCCGTGACAGCAGTGGCAACTCACACAGAGTGAAAGTACGGTCAGTCCTGCTACAGCATGAACTTGTTCCAACACTGCTGATCCATTAAAGAACAACCAGAGCATGGTGCAAATTTCACATTTTCATATATGTAATTTCGGAGGAACAGAGAAAACTACCCAGCTGAAGCAAGCTACTTAGTTTGCTGAAACACACATATGCACACACTATAAACATGTACCAGAACCTCATTCACATCGGGTGTTGAAACTTTACATTCAGTTTCAGATAACCTTCCTTCCACCAAATCCCAGTGACCCACAAGCTGCAACCCTTCCAAGGACCACTTCCACCAGCAAACTTCGGCTCTATTTCAACAGAAAGGGTCAGATTTCTCATCACGTTGATATATTTCTTAATCATTTAACATGTGTAAACTGGTGCCATTTTGATTAGGTTCCTATCTTCTTTTTTAATGTAGCTAAGTATTTTTTTAAGATTTTATTTATTCATTTGAGACACAGAGATACAGAGAGAGAGTGAGCGAGCGAGCATGAGCAGGGGGAGAGGCAGAGGGAAAGGGAGAAGCAGGCTCCCTGCTGAGCCAGGAGCCTGATGTGGGGTTCAATCCCAGGACTGTGGGATCATGACCTGAGCTGAAGGCAGATGCTTAACCGACTGAGCCACCCAGGTGCCCCTGTATCTCTTATTAAGTTTTTGAGTGATGTGCCTCAGACCCATTTTTCCCAAGAGACTTTTTCTGGCATGATTTGGCATAGCACGAGGTGATATTTAGGAATGAATAGGTCATGTCACAGTATGTAGGACTGGCTGTAAACCAACTACTGCTCCATGCCACAACATGGGTATATCTGGACACTGAGTCAAAAAAGAATGGCGGGAAGGGGGGATATGAGACTGGAGGGCAACAATGACAGCGTTAAGTGGGTTTTTGTTCCTCATGAATTTGTTTGCCTGGGCTCAGGACTGGAGGGCTTCACACAGAGACCCTGTATATTAAAGAATCCGATTTATACTGCTTCTCCTTTCTTGTTACATATGAATGCTATACACTAAATTATTTTTTAAAAGAATATATATGATACCATTGAGTACAAAAGCAGGTGAAATTAATCAACATATTTTTATTGGTACATACACCCATAAAGATGAAAATTATAAACACAAAATCTCTACGGAGAGGCTGCAAGGGCGGGTATGCAAAGGGATGGGTAAAGGTCTATTTTGTCAGCTGAATGATAGGCATGAGTATTCTTTGTACTAGTTTGTCTTCAAAACATGGTCTGGGGAAAATAAGTCTTTCAAAGGGTCTATGAGGTCAAAGAGGTCAAAGCTATTTTCAATAATAAGACTAAGACATGATTTGCCTTTTGCATTCTCATTCTTGCCAGAATGAGCAACAGTTTTCCAGTGATACATGACATGTGATTATCAAAACAGACTAAATTCAAAAGCAGTTATCAGAACCCATCTGTCTTCCATGAAGTCAGACATTAAGAGATTTGCAAAAATGTAGACTTTCACTTTTTGTTTGGGAAAAATTATTGTCATAATTATATGTTCCTTATCTTAACATGTAATTAGTTATTATTTTGAAAGGAGTATTTTAAAATTTTTCAATTCTAATTTCTAATATAGCAAATATAGATAGATACAACCTACATAAACAAAAGGTCTTTAGGGTGCTCAACAATTTTGTAAAGTATAAAGGAGTCTTGAGGACAAAAAAATTGAGAACCACTTTAAACCTTATACTTGGGTTTATACACGTGTGTGCGCGTACACACACACAGAACTCTTTTGGTATGTATGAACTATTTCATATTAATAAAGATAAAAAAAATCATAGTGTAGTGCAGACATAAAACGAATCCTTCTCTGGCACTCCAAGTGGTGCTGTATGTGGTAAGAGCTTATGACAACGGCATTATCTATACTACAGATGGGACTTACCGATACTCAGACTGTGAAACACAATCATAAAGTTCCTGGGCAGTGAACTGGACATTTCTATTTACCTGAAAAGAACCAAGATGTAGTTAATAAAAATACATATGAAGTCAAAAGAGCAGTAAGAGCACAAGTAGAGTGACCCATATTCTGAGGGAAGAGAATGTCAAGTTTCTAGTGTTTGCATAAAAAGAACAATCACAAGTTCAGTGATCACAACACATAAAAAGATCACAATCAGTGCTCACAATGTTCTACACAACACTGAACTGTGTGTAAAAATACTAGTCCTATTGTTACAACTTCATCCGTTCATAGAACCAGAAGAAGTAATCAAGGGTTCTGGGGTTAGTGGGAATCTCAACGAAGCAGATAATCACTTTGTAGATCAAGTGGAAAGAAAAAAATGTGTACTCCAGGCAACACTAAATTTTACTCCTACTGGCTCTTATCAATAGATTCAAGCTTCAATTAGCTTAGAGTTTTAGAAGATTTCTAAAGCACATATTCAATATGTTTCTAAAAAAAGCAAACGTTAAAAGGTTAAAATAACTCTATATTTAAAGGATTGGAGTAGAGTTGGGGTCATATAGATAGACCCTTTTTTTTTTTTTAAGATTTTTTTATTTATTTTTTTTGACAGAGAGACAGAGAGAGAGCACAAGCAGGGGGAGTGGCAGGCAGAAGGAGAGGGAGAAGCAGGCTCCCCGCCTAGCAGGGAGCCAGATGTGGGGCTCGATCCCAGGACCCTGGGATCACGACCTGAGCCAAAGGCAGACGCTTAACCACCGAGCTGCCCAGGCAGCCCTAGGGAGACCATTTTAAAAGCAGAAGTAGCCATATCTTGTTTATATTCTGAACATTAGAAATAATTCAAGCTGAAAGAAAAAATTAAGCATTCAACTTTAACAACATTTGAATACTACAGCTGACCATTGCAAAAACTAGTACTGAAGAATTTTCACTTTCATTTAAATAATAAGTTTATAAAAAAAAGTTTGATTTACAGACATTGTCTAAAGAATTGTCTTTTTCAAACTGTCAAGGTCTAAATATTTTAACTAATATGTGTAAGTTCATAATATAATTCAGAGATATAATTTATACTACTATAAATATAAAAGTCCTTGATCATACAAAGACTCATCATGGCACACATGTGGAAGACACAGTGATGGAATCCTGTATTTCTTGAGGCTTCCTATTGATTTAGGCTATATTGTACTTATGTGCAGGGAAAAATCTGGATATTAATAAATTCTTTTTATCAGGTAACAAACAGTGCCTAAATTTTCAGAAATTCTGAATTAGTGATGGAAAACTAAATGAGACTATCTTCTGTTCAATTTACTTAAAAACATATTTAAATAGTTGGTATACATTTTTTGGTGAGGAAATTATATTGTGTAGAAAATGTTTCATTCACTAAAGGTTAAAAATACAGTTTTTTTTTTTTTAAAGATTATTTATTTAGAGAGAGAGAGAGGGGGAGAGCACACATGCCTGTGCAAGCAGGAAGAAAGGGCAGAGGGAGAGGGAGAGAGAGAATCCTAAGCAGACTCCATACTGAATGTGAAGCCCAATGCAGGGCTTGATCTCATGACCCCAAGATCATGACCCGAGCCAAAAGCAAGAGCTGGATGTACATTCAACCAACTGAGCCACTCAGGTGCCCCCACAGTTTTTATTTTTTATTATTTTTTTAAAATATTTTATTTTTATTTGTCAGAGAGAGCACACAAAGCAGGGGGAGCGGCAGGCAGAGGGAGATGCGGGACTCGAGCCCAGGACCCTGGGATCATGACCTGAACTAAGGCAGATGCTTAACCAACTAAGCCACCCAGGCATCCCATCCCCCCATAGCTTGTAACTACAATAGTTTAAATCTATATAATCCTAAATTTTTGCTTACAATTAGGATTATATGTTTACGCTATTTAATTATATATAATATTTAATATATTTAATGATTGTATAAATTGGTATATAATTATAATTAATTTTTAGGTACTTTATAATTTTTATTAAAAGATCTTCTAAAAATGTTTAAGATATACATTTACAGTTAGACTGTTAACCAGTCCAATTCCTTTTTCTTTACGTGTTCTACTTTCATGTCAACAAGACTCTGATATTTTCACTATTATTGTCCCAATATGCCAGGACCTAAAATGTATGCAAACTTAAGGCCGGCAAATGTCAACAACCTTGCAGATGTTTGATCAAAGGATGAGGGAAATACCTGTTCTCTATCAACTGTTGAGAAAATCAGCTAAAGAAGTGGTTTTGAACCTGATGTGAATAAAAAATATGAATACAAAATCCTTAAGCCTTTAGGTTTTTAGAAGACAAAAGTATCTAGATGTAACTTTAGTTTTAAAAGCAATCACCAGGGGCGCCTGGGTGGCTCAGTACGTTAAGCGGCTGCCTTCGGCTCAGGTCATGATCCTGGGGTCTTGGGATTGAGTCCCACATCTAGCTCCCTGCTCAGCGGAGAGCCTGTTTCTCCCTCTCCATCTGCCTGCCACTCTGCCTATTTGTGCTCTCTCTCTCTCTCTCTGTCAAATAAATAAATAAAATCTTTAAAAATAAATAAATAAATAAAAGCAATCACCACATACATTTAGATACTTATCCAGACCACAGTTGAGGTATAAGGGTGGTGTGGCTCCAGGTCACAGATGACTTAAAAAGTAGGCAGCTAATTTACTACTAATAAAGAAAAAGTGCAGTACAAATTCATGACATATATCACAGGTTTTAGCCTGAAGTATCTCTTTTCATCATATTCATCAATTTTGATACATTTTTAATTACTCATATTAGGACATTTTGAATTACACCGTTAAATATCATTTCTCGCTCAAGTGCACAATTTTAACTCCCAAGGGAAAAAGAGCTACAAAGATGCCTTTGTCAGTAAATGGAGGTATGACTATAGAGTCGACTGTGGAATTGGTGTCCTCAATTCTTTGTTGTAGTGTTTATAATGGATGCCAGGTACTAGAAATGGCTATACTATTTTGAATTCTTAAAAATTCAAGAACAAAAGGCTAAGGTTAAGTATTAAAATAGCTAAACATCTTAAAAGATTTAGATGGTCTCAAATGTGATGTTTATGATGTGAGAAATACCTCGAATGTAGTCACTGGTGTGGCGGGGAAAGTGCTGCTAAGAGAAAGGATTTTAAAAATCTGGGAATCAGATCCATATCATCTTATACATAATGAGTTTGGCATTTTCTCCCAATACTCTCAGCAATAGGAAGTGCTAAACTCAAAAAAGACCTATGTCCCAGACTTTTCCAGGATATGTGATCTTAAAGTTGCCCTATTGTTTCCACAAATAAACTTTTATTGTTAGAATCAATGACTCCATTTGAAATTTAAAAAGTATGATGAAATAATTAAACAAATCACCCCCAAGGAAGAAATCCTCTTAATAAGCACATCAGTATTAAGTCTGATTTTCCAAAAGCATACATAAACACTACTCCTTCCATAAAACAGGTAACGCTATTGAACCTTTAACTCTGTGTCTGGTACTGTTTGGAACACTTCATATACATGAAGCTATTTAGTCTTTAAAGAATATCTAGGGGGCGGAGCAAGATGGCGGAGGAGTAGGAGACCTAGATTTCCTCTGGTCTCAGGAATTCAGCTGAATAGGGATCAAACCATTCTGAACACCTACGAACTCAACAGGAGATCGAAGAGGAGAGTAGCAACAACTCTCTGAACAGAGAAGCGACCACTTACTGGAAGGTAGGATGTGCGGAGAAATGAATCCGAGGCGATATTCGGGAGAACAGACGATGGGGGAGGGGGCCTCCGTCGGCCGCTTCTGGCAAGTGATAGAGCCGCGGAGCACAAAATCGGAACTTTTAGAAGTTGGCTCCGCTGAGGGACGTCGGTGCAGTGGCTAAGCGGGGGGTGGAATCCTCCCGGGACAATGTGGTCTCAGGACCCCTGGGGTCACAGAAAGACCAGGGGTGCCTGAGTGCAGCAGAGCTCCCAGGTATCGGAGCGGGGAAGCCGGCTGCAGAGATGGAGCCGAGGCATGTCATGGGCTCTCAGCTCGGGGTTGCCATAAACTGTGATCCGCAGCCCTCTCGGGCCACTGCTCCTCCAACAGGGACCCAACAAGCGGCAGAGCCGGGGAGACTCCTCTTTCTTCCCCGGGAGGAGCTGCGCGGGAATGCACTGCAGGGATCTGCTGGGTTTGGAGACTCCACACGGGGTTGGGTGCCAGAGATACAAACGCTCAGTCACAGGCCCGGTGAGCACGGAGTGCGGCCGGAGACCAGGGAGACGGGAGTGACTGACTGCTTTTCTCTGGGGGTGCACTGAGGAGCGGGGCCCCGAGTTCTCAGCTCCTCCGGGTGGAGATTGGGAGGCCACCATTTTCACCCTGGTCCTCCAAAGCTGTACTGAGAGCTTGCAGGGAACAAAAGCTCCTGAGAGCAAACCCGAGCAGCTTGCTTAGCCCGGACCAACAAGGGAGGGGCAATTCAGCCTCCGGCAGACATTTGGAAACCACAGCAACAGGCCCCTCACCCAGAAGATCAGCACGAACAGCCAGCAAGCCAAGACCAAGTTTACCGATCAAGAACGGGAGAACTCCAGCGCTAGGGGAATACTGCACACAGAATTCATGGCTTTTTTTTTTACCATGATTCATTAGCTCATCAAAGTTAATTTTTTTAACTGTTTTTTTTTAATTTTTCTTCCTTTTCAACCAACATCTTATCAATCCCTTTTTTAAAAAAAACATTTTTTATTTTTCATTTTTAGAGTCATATTTTATCCCTTCATAGTAGTTACCCTTATTTTTGGCATATATATATAAGTTGTTCTCTCTTTAAAATTTTGAGATACAGTTTCTTCTAACAGATCAAAATGTACCCTAAATCACTAGTGTATGGCTTTGTTCTAGTCTCCTGCCTGATCACATTCTCTCCCTTTTTTCTTTTTTTTTTTTTAATCTTCTTTCTTTTTTCAAACAACTTATCTTATCAATTCCTTTTATAAAATCTCTCATAATTTTCATCTTTACAGTCATCTTCCAT